TCATGCTCTTTTTCTGGGTTCGTCCGACCTCTGCCAATTGTCAGATCTCACTAACAATTCACAGGGCCCAGTCGTTGGCTACATGACAGATAATTACGGCCCTCGTATTCCCATCCTCATCGGCTCGTTCCTACACGTCTTTGGTCTAATGATGACATCCCTATCGAAGAAATATTATCAGATTATTCTATCTCAAAGTATCTGCAGTGCATTGGGCTGTTCATTTCTCTTCTATGCGCGTGAGTATCCTCCCTAGATCTCAACCACATTACTGACGATACCCAGCTATCGCCGCTGCTGGAACATGGTTCAAGCGTCACCGCGCTATCGCTTTTGGAATCATCACCGCTGGATCCAGTCTCGGTGGTGTCGTCCTTCCAATCATGGTGAACAAGCTTGTTGTCCGAGTTGGCTTCGGTTGGGCGATGCGATCTGTGGCATTCCTTTTCTTGGGACTGCTGGTCATCGCCAACGTTACCATCAAATCAAGACTGCCACCACCACGAAGAAAATTTGACATCAAAGATTTCATCACGCCGTTCAAGGAGATGCCATTCCTTCTTTTGACCGTCGCTGGATTCATGCTGTACCTTGGCTCCTTCTTGCCGTTCAACTTCATCATTGTCCAAGCGAAAGAGCTCGGTGTGTCCGATAGCCTGGCTCAATATCTGGTATCCATTGTCAATGCTGCTTCGTGAGTCACTCTACCACTGTTCCTCAACCTCAGCTGACGAATCGGAAGTACATTTGGCCGTCTCGTTCCTGCGTATTTCGGCGATCGCATTGGTGTCTTCAACGTTATGATCCCATTGACCTTACTGGGAGGCATCTTCACTCTTACGGTGTGGTTGACAGCACACTCTACAGCTTCGGTCATTGCATATGCAGCTCTGTATGGTTTCGCGTCTGGCTGCACTTTATCTATTGTACCAGCTATGGTTGCTAGCTTCTCAGATGTTCGCAGCATTGGAACCCGTAGTGGCGCACTCTATGGTGTTTCTGCCATTGGTGTCCTTATTGGAAGCCCGGTTGCCGGAGCCATTGTCAGCGCAGAGAATGGAAGTTTCTCTGGATTAATTATCTTTTGTGGTGTTACGATTCTGGCCGGTGCCGTATTTGCAATCATGTCGAGACAGGCGTTGACCAAGGGTCAATGGCTGAAGAAAGTTTAGTGTATATCGGACACCTTCATCACTTTCCTACGAGGCAGTTGGACCTTTTGACCAGACTGCAGAGAGACGAAAGTGGGTAGATTATGTGTATAATATTCAAAATAGACAGTGAATCAGGCGATCCTCAACACGGGAAAAATGCCCTTAATCAGTACAAGGAAACTTTCGCCTGGGGATTTGAGTTTGTTGTGCCCTGTCCACGAGGTTTTCCAATTAGGTTTGCTATCTGTGCACAGATTCACAACCTCCATGTCTAACAATTAGTGGACCATCATCGCCTCTCAATAATTATTCATGGACTTTGACCGATGACTACCACCATGGCCGAGCCAGCCCATAAAGGGATCCTCAGAGACGAGACGATCATGCTTCGCTGGATATTTGGCTATTCTCACGGTGCGAAATTGCTTAATGGCGCGAGCTGGCCCGACATACCTCAAACATCTGTATCACGCAGGCTTAATTCCAACATCAAGGACCTAGGATTTCTGAGCATTGATGTTGACCATTTCAGGGTGGAGAATGGTGTAATTCAACGAGTCGAGATTGGTTTGTCTTTCCTGAAAGCACAAGCTCTACAACATTTACACTGCAAAACTATGCAAGGTGGCAACTTGGCATCGCGCTTTATCAAATCTCATCATTTGGTGTTTGGTCCCAAGAAAGAATTCCATGGGAGATCGCACCTCTTTTCATTTGGAAATGCAAGGCCGATTCAGTTGCGGGATGTAGGAGCCGTGCTTGAACGGTTGACTAGGAAGCCTTATGTTCTTGTTGTCCACGGGGCAAAGCAAGAGCTTTCACTACTCTCACTGCTGAATATAAAGCTTGAACCCGTTTTCATTATCGACACTGTCAAGGCAGCTCAGTATCCACTACACCTTTGGTACAGATACAGTCTGAAGCAGCTGCTGGAGGAGTTTGAGATACCATACTCGCATCTTCACGTAGCGGGAAATGACGCACACCTCACGCTCCGAGTGTTTCTCATGTTAGCCGTCAAAGACTCTGAGATCCACCTGTCAGGGAAGCGTCTGCCTGACTGGGTTCCGATCTTCAAAGCTGTTGCTCAATCTCCATTGCCCCCGAGGCCCCCGACCAAGCGAGAGATAGCGGCCATGGCTGAAGCCGAAGCTGAACGAGAAATGGACGGCGATCGGAGCGAAGGAAACACGGTCATGGATGGCAGCGAATAATTGAGAACAGTTAATTTGGCTAGACAACAAACAACTAAACAGCATGTTGGACTACTCTGTAGGAGGTCCTTGGATGAATGTTGAAGACAGAGGATCTGGACTTCTTTCGTGGCAGACCTCATGCGAAAGAATTCATACTTGGGTACGCGATGCAAAAGGGAATTATTTCAAAGGGTGCACAGAATTCTGATCAGAAGGAATTCATGTCTATCTAGTCCAATTTAGTCCAGCTTTTATCGTGCCCATCAAACGCCATTCAACTATGCATCTAAATCTTACTATGTCAATTTCGTAGTTACTTTTCACAATTCTTTCCGTCCCCTGTTGTATTAGTACCTGAAGTGCCTTGAAAGCTTCAGTCTCTATCGTTCAGGAGAGGTTCGCCTTCGCTGCCCTCATTCTGAATTCCGTCCTGCTCTTCATGCTTCTCAATCAGTGTGCTTCCCGGAGGCGGGAAGTTGGAGAATAAGAGAACCACCATGGCCAATAAAGCAATGGCCTATTACCTGATTAGCTGCAATCACTAAATCATTGTACAACAGCGACCCACCGCATTGCAGAAGAATGTTGCATATGCCTTGCCAACCTCAGCCAAACTGGCAAAGATGAAGCCAAACAAGCCCTGGGTGGCAAGTCGCGCTACGTTTTCGACCAGGGTCACGGCGTTGAGAGCATCGGCGCGCTGCGAGTCGGGACACATTTGTGTAATGACACCTTTTGCGGCTGGCGCTGATCCGGAGCCGAATGGGAGAAGAAAGGCAGCTGTCCTGTTAGAGCAATGTTCGTTAGGGGACTGCAAAAGCTTACCAAGGTAGATATGCCACGGCTTAGTTGCGAATGCGGCAACTGTAGTTAGCAGACCATCGACTAATAAGCTCCATCTGAGAAACACAAGATCAAACAGACACCCATCGTCCTCTTTGCTGCGGCTGACCGCCTCGTACGGTTCATGATCAGCCTGCTCTCCCAATGTTGCATCAAACTCCCCAGCTTCCGTCGGGATATGCCCCGGTTCCGCTTCATCATCGCTGTTTGGTTCAGATCTGATAACACGACCTCGTCCCCAAGCGATGATCCTTGGAAACAGTAGGATCAGGAAGACACTTCGCATGAACGCAAACTCAGACATGAGCCAGCCGTTATCACCCTGGCTAAAGTTGAACGCCGCTGTTGCATACATCTGAATGAGAAGAGGTGCATAACCAGTGGCGAGTACAGAGACGAATATGCCGCTGCAGAGAAAGATGACGCCAAGATGCTTCTTGACTCTCCCGTCAGCGAGGCGTAGTTTCTGCGGTGTGAGGATCTTGAGCGGCGCGAGAAAACCAGAAACTCCTTTGTGACCGTTCTTTCCGCCATTGGACATTGGCTCGGGTGAAATATATGGTAAGGCGAACCAGACGTAAATACCCGCGAGAATGAAGGAGACGAACGCAACATCGAAAGGAGCCCGGATATCGATCGCGTCACCTATCATACCACCACTCAAGTATCCAATCGCCTGACCTAACATGATGGCACCTTGCAATTGCCCAAATACTGCTGTCCTTCTGATGGGTTCAACGACCTCTCCAGCAATGACGTTGACAACAAGACTAAAGCCAATGTTAGCATCTGGGGAACGGGAGTGTATGGCGGACTTACATGTACCCAGCTGGCCCGCCCAGAATTGTGATCAATTGAGTTGCTTGGATGATGATCATTCCTTTTTCTCCACCTGCCACGACTCCCAAGATTTGTGTGACCACGCGAAATGCCGGGATAAGAATCTGACACAAAAGTGCCGCTCGGGGGCCGAACTTTTTCGATGTCCAGCCAGCGACAAAAAGGTTCAACGTTCCTTAAAAGAGTCAGTATTGCATCCAATATTTGAGTTAAAATGACTTGACTTACCGCAAAATGTAGTAGACATGCCAAGGATACTGTATTGAGTTGCCGTTCCAGCCGCAATCTCGTCCCGACTGCACCTATCGCCCGGACCATTGTAAGGAGGATGCGTCTCATAAAACGAATCACAAGTCATTAAATGAAAGACATAAAATAATCTATAAATCATTAGGCTTATTGCTGGTCAATTGACAAAAAGTACTCACGGAACTTGGGTAAAACTGAATGATAACGTGATAAGAAACCCCGCAAGCAAAATGCGATTCTCGACATTGAAAGCTCTCGATAACCAGTTTCTCACTCGTCCTTTACCTTCCCCCTTTTGGGGGAGAAGTGGTGTTGTCTCGTCACTCGCCATTTTGGAGTAAAAATACAATGCCAAGTTTAAAAAGAACGAGGCGAAAAAATCTTTGATGATAAATACAATTGCGAGATCGCTGTCAATCATTCGGTGAGAGGGGGGTATGGATCTCTTTCTTGATGGGGAATAGCGTGTTTAATCGACCGGGATTACTCGGTTATAGCTGTTATCAACTGACGTTATCTACTCTTGCTACTCTCATTCATTCATTTGATAAGGTATTCCCAAATCTCAGTGAGATAGATCTCGGCAATTTGGCAAAAGTAACGCATTGGCTTTTGGCTGTAGATGTTAAGCTTTCGTCAAGCACGTGACCATAGCTCGTCCCCACGATTATTTCTTAAAAGCTCAACTTTGCAATGGCGTTCTTCATCAGCAAACAAGATGGAGCATGTCACTGACGATCGCGTGCTCAAAGTCTTGCGCAAGTTCAAAGTGTCTAGTATTACTCTGGTGGAATGGGAGACTCCTCTACTACAACGCTTGGGCTATCCGCTTGCACCCCAATCAGTATGTCCCAAACATAACGAATCTTTCACAATACTGACTTTTGAACGCAGGATTTACTGTTCTTGATTCCCGACGAGCAAATTGAGGATGCTAGACACATAGTTGAAGCCGCTGGCTTGCAAAACGATAACAGAGCACCAAGTTATATGGCTGAACACGCACGGAAGGGTTATCACTACGTCTATGGAGAGTCAGGTCACAAATTCATCCTGGTGCCCATTTCCTGGACTGGGATTCAACAAAAGGAGTTGATAGCTATAAATTCGCCTACGCTGCCATGCCCTATATGGACGGTGCCTATCCCTGCTTTTTGCGCTGCCTACTTGCGAATCATTATGCAAGAGCATGCTGGGACTACCGTTCGTTTGATGGCAAATGCAGATCTGGCAAGCGTCATCGGCTACAGCATGTTTGATATGACTTATGAGGGGGACTATATGCCTACGCCAGAGGACTTGGAGCATCTAGATGCTGCCGAAAAAGAAAGAATGGCCGAAAAAGATGCTTTGGAGATGGAAAATGCTCTTAGTAGCATAAAGCAATGGCAGTTCACAGAAGAGACGGAGTGGGCAAGAGACATGATGCTGGAGTTAGTATCCGGGAAGCTATCATATGACGATTTGCCAGCAAGTAGACCAGAATTCTGTATGAAGCCAGAAGCTTAGAGCATAAAGTAAAAGTAAATTCGTCCCCTCTAAGTTCTCAGTGCTGAAACCTATTTTGAAGTCTCAACCTTATCATAAAAGTCTACTCCAAGCCCTGCACCTCAACCAAAAGGAGATATGCATCGAGGCTAGCTTCAAGCTCTTATTCACAGGTCGCAACTACAAATGTCGCATATGACTCACAAAATAGACGTTGCACAGAACCTGCAATAGGAGGCAAAACTTTGGGACATTTGCCCTAAGTTTCACAGATCTTAGGTGAATTTAGAGTACTTTCGTCACTTTTACCCTAAGTTACACAAAGTTTAGGTGACTTTGGTGCATTTTAGTTGACCTTTAGACCAGCGTATTCTGATCTCTTATCCTCAAATCAGAAATTTTATGACCCCCCCTCAGCATGGCGCCGCTCCCAGCCCACATGAAGGCGGCTGCCCAAGCTTTCTCACGCATTCTCACAGAGCACAACATCGAGCACGCCTTCATCGGCGGTTTTGCCTTGAATTTACTAGGAAGTAATCGCGAAACTCTAGATATCGATGTCGAGGTCGCCATGGACGATGCGCAACCGAACAAGATCCGACCTCGTCTTGTTGAGCTTCTTCTAGATTCGGACCGGCAGCGGTTTGTTGTTTCGAACCTCAAGCTCTTTTTCATTCCAGACGGTGGTCATTGGGACTTGCGAGTCCCCATCGAAACACTTGCCCGCGGCATGCTTGGTTTGCCTCGGCGACTTTCGACCCTCCGCCCGGGAGATGGTAAGTTAACAACAGCCTGCTGTCATCCTAGGCGAGGGAAATGCCTCCGCCTAGCTTGACCCCAAAGTCCTCCCCATTTGCCTCTTTCTATCTTTTTGCCTCTTTGGTCTCTTTTGAAAGCTGTTGTAAGCACAAAAATAGGATCTTTTTGCTTCAAAGTGGAAGTTTTCTTCGATATCTATCGGTGGAATCTTATAACTATCATCCTGGAGAACCTGGAGCCGGCTTGCCTTCCAGGTCCAGCCGGGGGCAACCCAGACCGTCGCCTATGGCTTTGGAACGACCACCTTCTGGTCGATCGGTCAGGCAGCAAGCCTACTGATTGGTAATTTAACCTGCAAATTTTCTCTATTACTTAATTCCGCGCTGCCTGTTCTACATCTAACCTTGATTTCCTTTTAGGTTTGATCCCTATCCTCCATCCGGGCGTTCTCGTTCTTACCAAGCTGAAGCGCTCATCGCAGTACATTGGAAGTACACGGCCTCAGTCTGTGGTCAAGTTTAATTCTGACGTCCGCGATATCGTTTACCTACTCCACTGGCTCCAAGATCATGGCGAGAAAATCGACTTCGCCAACTACGACGCGGCCTCTCCCGAGAGACTGTACGATTCTGTCCGTAAGATGCGTGCTCATTGGGAATCTAAGGGCGAAAGTACCGCCATCAAGATGCTAGACTGCGTCCTCGAGGAGAGCGACAGGGCTACTATACAACTAGGGTTCTCGGGATATTAGGCGACAAAGGCGAGCGCGAATAAAACGCGCCAATACAACTTCTTTTTTATCAGTTTTACTGTCATTGTTCCAATATATTATTACTCTTAGCTGACATGATAAACATAACGGCGAGACCGCTGTGAATCACTCCGTCGGTTGCGGCGTTAGGGCAAGAGATTTCTTTGTCTTGGGCGAATTCCCTTGCAAATAGAGTGGAACTTCTTGGCTATAGCTGTTATAGAGATGACTTTATTGATGCAGGATATAGGAACGTCGCGATACTAAGCTCTTTGCCTGTATTAGATCTGCTTTGTTTATATCTCATCCTGATATTGTCGTAAGCTTACTGCCCAACTTGTATCAGACCACGGATAATCATTCTCAAACCACATAGTAGGGCGCCAATACCCAATCCACATGTAACGCCTGTTCTCCAAGGAAACCCCATTCCCAAACATTTCATCAAGACATTCATGAATATCTGATGCCCCTCGAAGCTTAGGGCACGCCTCTAAAAGATCATCGACGTCTTTTCTCTCGAGTTCTTCCATCAAGCATAGGCCCACACAACCTAGGTTTGGCACTAGCTTCAAGTTGTCAAATACACCCCTGTCCAACCTGTGATCTGAATTTAGCCACATCGTCTCCAGTGTCGTCCTATGTGCGTGGATGAAGCTAGCCAGAGCGCGATCCACATCGGTATCCGTTTCCCCACGAAAGAAATTACCGGTGTAGTTGTAGGAATAGTCCATGCCGTCTGCGATAAATGTTCTTAAACATGATAGGCTGGACATGGCCTTCAAGTCTTGGACATGTAGAGGGATGTCATGGCCCAACATCAAATGCTCCAGGACTTGCAGGCGGGGAACCAACATGCTCAGGACACTTCCGTCACCATCCAAACAGTCAAGGCACAGCAACTTGAGTGTCGAACCTAGGGCTTTGCAGAGTGTCGTCAGGTCTGCTAGAGTTATCCCGTGGCACTTAATTTTCAGTCTCTGCAAGACTGGGCAGCGTTGGCTGAGGGTTTCTAAGAAACCTGGAAGATCCTCATATTGAGGGGAATCAGTGTGTATCGCGCTGAACGATATCAATTTTTTTGACAGATAAGGCAACATGGCCTTCTGAAACCAGGCACCCCCACCGTTCATCTCGACATGGGAGAGTTGTCCAGCAAACTTGGCGACCCGCGCGTTCTTTTCCGGTATTGGAAGATCTACTTTCCTGCAATACGTCGTGAGGCGTAGTTTCCTGACGTTCGGACAGACGAAGAAGAGATCAGCTAAGTGATCGACATAGGCTTGGTTAAATTCGTCCCCACCGCTAGCTTTCTTAGGCAATCTCAACCCAAGAAGGCGTAAGTTTGGGCACCGTCTTGCTATGTCTATAACAAGTCTTCGAGACCGAACCTGCGTGTCCCACTCAAAGTCAAGAACCTGGACATGGTTTGCTCGACGAGAATCAACTGCCAGTGATAGCCGAAACCGTTCCTTGCCTTGATAGCTTTCCAGTCGTGAGCCATCTGGAAAGGAGTAGAGATATGGTTCGGTGAGATATTGGAGGGTCGTGGATGTGCGAGTTAGGGATGATAAAGTCTTGGCTCGGATTGCCTTATGATCGTTGTTGCGTCTATCATAATGCGACACAATATGTTCAACGATCATTTGATATATCTCTGTTGGAAGTATGGAGGTTGAGAAGCCAGAGGACCTGTCTCGCGACCTCGTTGACATGGAGACCTGGTGGGAAATGTCAACCGCGGCTTCAGCATGACCGTCTGTCATCTTGCCGTCTGGTTTTTGTTCTGAGACTCCGAGTAGAGGGTAAGCCATAGCACGTGATTTGCAATGAGTAGGTTTTACTGTCTGTAGTCATTGTAAGCTGATTATGCTGAGGAAGTCTATTGCCTGAAACCTACTTCTCTGTTGAAGGATGATGTCGGTGTCTCTTGTCGTACAAGAATGTGTCACAAAGCCTCGTGATCTCGTCTCGCAAACCTGAAGATGTTTTCATTAGGCCTTTTTGAACTGGAAGGAAGGGCAGAGGTAGCATTTATATGGAAAGCGAAACAAAACATGCTTTTTAGGTAAGCACTGAGATGCATCTCTATTGGTCTTAGAAATGGGTGCAGATGAAGGTTTGGCGCAATATGAAAGCTTATACCAATAAGCTTTGAGATGGCGTCTGAATTTCACTGAAAGGCTTTGAACTCAGTTGAATTGCAAGTATTTGGCCAATAAGCACGCGTTGTGGCATTTAACACCAATCACCTACTGTCAGGGGCCGCGTTGCGTTGTAGATCAAAACTCGACTGCCATAAGTGAGTTTTCGACTGCGCATGAGAAATCAAATTGGCTTCTCTTTGAATAGAATTATGCAAAAGGCTCTAGTCTTATCAAAGATAAACCTGAGTTGTTTACTCTATAGGCAGTGCCAAGCACTATCTTCTCTCGGCCGGATTAAGCTCCCAGCCACAGGTCTCAGCGGCAAATAACACTTCTAGCTCACAACTTAGACATTGTACCAAAATGTCTGACCAATTGCCACAGAAAAAGGCTGATAAGAGGAAAACCTATATGATGACTCTTTGGCCGGCCTTCAGTGCCAAGCACACAATTACTTTGACGTACGTGGGAGCCATCGCGAGTCCGGTCCGCCCGAACGGGTAGCAAAAATAACCGAAAACATTGAAGTATTCTAACCTTTCCGGCGTTCTCTACTGCTGAGATTGATATTCCTGTGAATAATGGGCGTTGAAGGTTCTTCTCAAAGACCTCTCTCCAAGTGTTCTTTACATTACATTTCCGCACCGGCAGTTCTGGGCCACCAATCCATTATCCTTCATAATAACATCAGGTATTATTGCTTTGAGTACATTCTGAAGAAACTTAATACTCATGCCTATAAGACTGCGATTGCGACCCTTTTTCAAATAATGCATTGATATATGTAAGACTACTACTACATGTGAAAACATTATTAATCTTAATCATCGGGAATAAACCCCCAGCTACCACATTTTGGGTAGGACCAGTCTGAATCTTTATGTCGATCGATCTCTCTGCCATAATGGTTAACGCAAATTTGAAGTTTAGGGCATGCTGCTTGTAAATCTTCCCGTTCTTCATCAGTCAGAAGCCGATCGACCTCCAAATTGAGAAACTCCAACTTCTTTGCCTTTTTTATAGCCTCCAAAACACGAATATTGAGATCATACTGACCGGTGATACTGATGCTCTCTAAAGTATCAGCTTGAGAGGTAATCATGTCGCATATATCTATCTCTACTTCAAGCGAGTGAATAGGGTCCCACCGGCGGTGGCTCACTCCTTTATAATGCTTGAGTCGTGGAGGACTTAGGCGGGCCAGAGCTTGGATTGATGGCCAGACATCATATAGGTGTGCCAGATAAACCTCTTCGACTACCGGCAGTTGTTCCAGGAGCTGAGGGATAGCAGCAGCCTTCGTCGTCGTGAGCCAGTTGAGGTGAAGAGTCCTTAAAGTCTTGCCCCATACATGGGATGCGTCTAACAGACTCTGCAGATCGAGATGTCCAACAGAGTCGATCTTGAGCCGTTGAAGTGAGGGACATCGCTTGGATATCAAAATTATATCTGATGGGTCCGAACGCGAAAGTCCTTCGACGTGCGTGAGCTGTTTCCAAAACTTCAAGAATACCTTATTGTTTTTATACGCCCGGCTGACTTTGGAGTCAGAAGTCTTTGCATCAAGACTTAACCTCGTCACATTTGGGCATTCAGAGAAGAGATTCCCCAAGAATTCCAGGTGGGAGCTAAAAAGCCCCTTGTTGGTCTCAACTATCTCCAAGTGCCTGAGGTTCGGACATAGCTTGGCAATCTCAAGCCAGAGGGAACTGCTATACAGGCACTTGACATTCATGGATAGTGACTGGACGAGAGGTCCCCGGCGTGGCTCAATGATCAAAGAGAACCGAAACATCAAGATCGATGGAGTCTCATCGAACATCCAACTGCGTGGGTGTTTGTATAAGTACCTCTCGAGGATTTCTTGAAATAGCCGACAGGAACAGGTCAAGGAAAGCAAAGTCTTTGCTCGCAATCGTTTGCTCTGCAGACAACTGGGATAATCGCCAACGATCTGATCGAAAATCTCATAGTAAATCTCGGCGGGGAGATTGTAAACCCACTTTGTTTGCTGCCGTGATTCTGCTGGGTCGTGTGCTATGAGCGGCGTTGGGAATTTGTGGCGCGACCAGCTGTCAAAATACAGATCTGTAGCGACTTGAGCTCGACGTTGTGCCTCAGGGTCATTGGGCCTTTGCTTTGCAATGACTCTTAGTGCCCGAATACTTTGTTGCAATTTGCTCTCGGGCGGAACCTTTGCCAGCTTGCTCTTCTCTGGCGGACTCTTTGGTGTCTTTTTCTTCTTAGGCCTGGAGGCTGAAGCCTCGTTTGACCCCTCAACTTTGACAAAGCCCGACTCTGGCCAACTCTTTGGTGCCTTGTTCTTCTTCATGGCGATTTGGTATTAGGATCAGTTCGGTGCGGATTTGTTTGCAAGTCAAGGCTTGCGTAGAAGTTGTGTTGCTCAAGCTTGGGTCTGAGGTATAAGGTCTTAAGGGTAGAGGGATAGCAGAAGACCTGCTGCTTTATGTGTGTATTTTTAGATTTGACAAGGAATTGATCTGCATTTCGAAATTAAGACTAAAAGGGGGCCTTGTGAAGTCTCATCCGAGGTGCACGTCTGCCAACGAATCAGCTGGAATGTTTTCGCACAGGACATGAACTCTGTCTTTACTTGCCAACTTTAGGGCCAGTGACCGCCAGAAAATCCAAGTCTCAGGCCAGCAAACTTCGAGAAATTTCTGTTGCCTAAAGCTTGTGACAGTAAAGAATTGGGTCTTCTTAGATGAAGTCGATATAATTAACCTAGATAATACAATGTTTTCGAGTTACTGCGACTTGTACCGGCATCGCATTCCCCACGTCCACTAAGAGTTTCTTACACATTTGCAGACCTTGAGATAAAGAAACGAGAGGCTTCACGCTTTACTATGACACTTTCTATTATCCTTACTCTCTTTTGAAAAATGCGACAAGGACAGTACAACGAATTTCACACTTAGGTTTCGATGGCATCATAATTAGTTACTACGCTAACCACCCTGGAGTCTATTTCAATCCATAGTCGACGACGCCTCGTTCTTTGTTCTCTTAGGCTGAGATTGTGTGTTTGTATCAAAAGCTCACCCGTCATGTCATTGATACTTCGTTCTGCGTACTGTCTCTTTATTTAACGGTATTACGTGAATAATATCAGCGTGTAAATGGATGATATTTGCAGACGCGTGTAAGAATACTGGACTTTCTATGACCATGTCCCAGTCCTCATAGGATGGCATGTCCTTCCCCAACTACCCTCCACGGCCTCTAACGTGTCCTCCTTGTACTTCATAGTCGCCAAGGTGCACTCAGTGAAGAACTCCTTAACCACCGTGAGTCCTAATTCTGACTTTCCAAGCTTCGGGCATGCAGTCAGAAGACCGTCTATCTCTTTTTTGGTAGGAATGTCATTTAGCTGCACCCGAAGATTCTCCAAATTCTTTGCTTTATGGAGGTGCTTAAAGATATCCATACCGAAGTTCCAAAAGTTGAACGATTCTTCTATGATGAAGGTATTGAGAGTCTCAGAATGCGCAATGAAGATGTCAATTATGGCTTTACTGACGTTTTCTGCATTCGCAAGTGGGTCGTATTTGAAGATATCATCTGCATGGAACCACCGGAACGCTTTCAGACGTGGAGCATCCGGTTGAGCTATAGCCTGGATATCTGAGAGGCGGAATGTGGTGCACCACGCACTCAAACCAAGCTCCTCCAACCTTGTAAGATGGGGCAGCAGATGGCCAAGGATGTCATCGTCGGAATCCATGAATACGGGGCGCTCGATGTCAAGAGACTGTAATGTTTTCCCCCATGTTTTGAAGCCGATCTCCAGGTCTTGCAGGGAGAATTGTCTAGGACAGCCTAATCTCAGTCTTTCTAAATCATGAGTACAAAGAGATAGCTTCTGAAAGAAATCTTCTCTCTCCCCATAGTCGAACTCTGTGAGAGTGAGTGACTTGAGGTTTGGGTAATCATAATGAAGGATGTCCCGGATGGACTCGAATGCGCCACAAACTTCTAAGTGGCAAAGCTGCTTCGCAAAGTCTGCGTATTGCTGCGAAAACGCCACCTCATTTGCAGTTATTTCATCGTCGAGGCCGAAGCCACCGTCATATATGAACTCGGTAACCTTGGGACAGGCAGCAAAAAACAAGCCCATGTGCATATGCATGAATTGTCGAACGACTTGTGCGGGGGCATATTTCCAATCCAGTTCAAGACGAGTTAGATTGGGACAGAGCTCCAGAGTGCTTACCCATACACCGTATCGGAAATTCTCTGGCCGGGGCTGGAATGTCAGTGACCGGATATGATGGGCTCTGCGGGGCTCAATAGTAAGACAGAAGAGAAATAGCCATTGGGGGTTGCTATTCGTCGATAGTCGCTGGGATCTCGGGTGCGTATACAGGTGCTCCTCGCAAAGTATCTGGAACATTCTACAGGTAGATGCCAGAGATTGTAAAGTCTGGGCACGTAGTTTCGCCTGCTCCGGAGACCTCCCATACCTATCGTTGACGAGGCAGTTAATTATCATGATGTATATCTCTGTAGGCAAACGAGACACTACATCCGTCCGTGAGTCAGTAGGACAATTCGTTTCGCAGCGCTTGATCGCTGGTTCTTGGGGGAACGATTGAAGTGATCGAATCTTACGACGCAAAAGGCCAATAGCTGCTAGGGCTCGTCTCTGTGCGTCTTGGTCGCAGCATCTTTGTTCTGATATATTGCACAAGGTGTTTGTAAGTGTCACCAAATTCCCCGCGATTGATCTCTTCCGGGGTTTAGGCTTATCCATTTTGTCCTGCGGCTGGAAATGGTTTGAAAAGGGAAGTAGATCTGGTTATAATGGTAAGTAAGAACAAGATTCCTGACTGTTCGCTACCTTGAGAGAATGATCAAGTCCCTGCCGGAAAAGGAACATGGAAGACAAATGCACATCGTAAATGCAGTAAAAGGCATTGGTTCCTGATTCTCCGGTTAATATACATGTGGCCAACAACAAGACGTCACAGGACGGTGGTTTCTACAGAGGATTGGACGGTTAGTCGCTGTGGAACAATGTCTAAGTTGTTATCCAGATATGTTATTTGCAGTCGAGACTTGTGGCTGAGAGCTTAAATCAACAGACAGAACTCAGAATCGAGAATCAATAATGAGGTCCATACAAACACTGCGTGCCTATTGGGCTGTGCGTGTTGAAGCCCAGTGGGAGCCTCAATAGAGCGCAAGGCTAAATTCTATCTATATAGCCAATAAAATGCTCTTCGGCAGCTGTACGTAGCTTCGCGTCTGAAGCTCTATCTCCATGCCCTTGAGGTGCCACTTCACGACCCAAACAATTTCTGTCACTTAGCTACAGCTAATTGGTCAACTATAATGATGTAGGTTGTCGGAAAACTCACATGGAAATCAGTCATTGCGTGAGGTTCCTGCAGATGACGTGCCCAAACCCCACATCACGACATGTCGCGCCATGGAAGATTAGACTGGGGTCGTGATGACTGAGAGAGTCACAACCGTAGCATATTCGTCATTTGTAATCAATATTGCACTTAATAAACCTGACTAATATCTCTAATTGTCTCAGCTCCCGCCTCACCGCTATCCTCCGGTAACGGCTCGTCGGCATACGTTGTTCGACGGGGTAATCGCACAATTTCGCATTACAAATGCGCGATTAAGGAGAGATTATATATATGTACTAACTTGAAGATTGCACCCAGTGAAAGATATACAATATAACTAGCCATTAAATCACTATTTCACTACTCGAGTCTATCACTTCACATTGTCAATCCACGCCGTCAAAATGCCTACCTCTCTCTACGACCTCATTATCCCCACCTTCATCAAGGGTCTCCAAACCTTTGACCATGTCCTCACAAAAGCCGAGCAATACGCCAAAGAAAAGGGCCTCAACGCCGATGAAGTCTTTCCCCAAGCCAGGCTCGTAGACGACCAACTTCCCCTCGTCTTCCAAGTGCAAACTGCCACCAAAGCTGTTCAGACCACCATTGGCCGTCTAACAGGCGTTGAGCCCACATTCTTCGAGGATAATGAAAAGACCATTGCCGACCTGCACGCCCGAATTCAAAAGGCTCTTGAGGCTGTGAAGAGCGTGAAGCCTGAGGATGTTAACTCACGAGAGGATGTCAAAGTGGAGCTGTAAGTTTCGCCACAAAAGTGTATACTGCGACATTTCGCTAACTCCTGAAAGCCCCCGGCCTGACAGGATCCTCCATCTCACCGTCAAGGAGGCTACACTCTACCATGGCCAGACAAACTTCTTCTTCCACATCGTCACTGGCTACTCCATATTGCGTGCACAGGGCGTGCCTATTGGAAAGGCCGATTATCTTGGAAGCTTTCTTGCGCAGTAAGTGGAGCAGGTGGAACCTAGAATAGACAAATGAGCAAGATTCTTTCCACATGGCGTCCTTGGGTTTGATAAGGTTCTAAGTACCGACAGGGACAAGTATAATTCTCTGCTGAAGCTCTGAACGTGAAAGGATCATGATACCAAACCGTGAAGACTCCTAGGTTGGTCAATTATTGAGTTCCCTATGTCAAAAAGCAATTGCACGACTGATAGTCCCTTCAAAATTAAAGAAGTGAGCCCTTCATATAATTCTGGTCCATTGCTAGTTGTTATCGTGTAACATATTTGTGGCCACCAAACACAAACGGCACCAACTTGCGCCTCCAGGGCGCCGCCGTCCTTCAATGACGCTACGAAGGGTCACCATTGAACACGAAGTAAATTTTAATGCTTTCCATATACATTGATTTATTTTTTAACCTTGATGTTGACCTTGGAAAGAAATTCAACTCTGCTCCGAGACAGTCCAATGCGCAGGCCAGACACCATTTTACGCTGCATCCGCTTTTCGCAGCCAACATGAGGCTGATACCATTCTTTGTGGCCATTCTGGGTCTCACTGTACCGTCTTTGACCTTGGATAACCATAAAACCAGTACAGATTCGACACTGGAAAGGGCAATCGTTGCCATTGGTAAAGAGGGGCTCTCAAAACTGTGGAACGTAACTTATGAATGCCAAAGGTGAATATCCCCCAATATGCTCTAACTAGGCTCATGATGTTAGAATCTACCGTTCTCGAAGCCTTATGCAAAGCTATAATCTCATGCGTGCAGATGTATCAGCAGCAACATCCGGAACGCAGAACATCTCCTATGAAATAGACTACCCATTGCTTCGTCAGCGAATCGACCGCCGTATACAGCCTTCACGTGAGTGCAGCAAACAGGTTTTGCAACCGCAACTGACAACTTAGATTCGTGGGGGTGGGCGTCTCCTCAATTGGAGCCCATGGAATTCTCTCTCGTGGTTTGGACTGGCGATGGTGACTCTGCTTGCTTTGTCAAGGGGAACAACGAAGTCTTCCTTCCCCGGAACGTTACATCTGGCTGTGTAGATGGTATGATTGGGGTTCTCCATCTACAAAGGATACTTGCTAACTTCTGAAGCTGCATTGGCCAATAAATTTGCTACCGACGCTCTCATGATGTCTCCTGGTCTTGCTGAGCGGGTGAGTCAAGTAAATGGTCGAACTTCCAAGTATCATGCTGATAGATCAAGATTCGACGGTCTAAAAGTTCTGAATACCGCGAGGTTGATATAAACGGCATCAAATTTCCAGCAGGTATGTTTCGAGATTCATGATCGGTCATTTTGCTAAGAGCGTACAGTCTATAGCAATCTTGACAAGCTCCTCCTCATCGTCGATCCGGAAACATACCTACCATATATCGTCCGCTCAGAAGAGCAACATCCGATCTACGGAAACGCTACAAAAGACGTATACCTTTCAAACTACAAAGAAGTACAGGGAATCAAATTTCCCCATACTGTTCAGACTATCTACAGCTCAACTAGTCAACGACTCAGCGTGGTTCTCGAAGACTTTGTAATTGACAAAATCAACGTGACAGCAAAGTTCAGCGACAACTTCTTCGACCTTGTTCCTCATGGTCAGAAAGTAAATATATCAGAGAAACCTCCCGATGTTCCCAGTGGTCTTGTCACAGATTACAGCACGAGCTTACTAGGGTCACCGGTCAAGAATGTCAGCGTTGATGCTTTGAAGTCATCTAGGCCCGTTGATCTCTTGCAGTTGTATTGGCTTATCATCGATGATAGCCATGATCTTGGGTTCAAGCAGCTTATTATTGAGTTTGAGACTGAAGTCATTGTGTGCGATGCGCCGCCCTTCTGGAGTGAGGCTGTCATGGAGTGGATTAAGAAAAATATTGGCAAGAAGGTCACCTACGTCGCGGTACGTATATCATTTCAAGACTTGACTGTTGGCTAACAATCTAGCCTTCACATCATCACCGAGATCATAGTGGAGGCGTAGCCGATTATGTTCGTGCCGGCGCCAAGTTGATCATCCCCGAGATGGCGGTGGATTACTGGTCCAGCATTCCAGGCGCCGAGTTCATCACTTTCAAGTACGTTGAGCGTCAATTGCAGTATTTCGCTGACAAGCCTTAGTCAAACACACCCTTACATTCATCGCGACAACAAGGTCCAAGCATGGTTCAACTGGGCTTATCAAGCGCCTCATGCAGCTGACTGGACTTATGTAATGGTTACAGAGCGATGTCCTAATAAAAACTCGTCCATCTTCGTCTTTGAGGCTGATACATGGGAAGCTGGACTTAGTGTTGACTTGGGTAACCAGCAGCAGATGAGGCAGTGGTTGGACCAGCTCCTGGATGATGGTCTTCCAAGATCTGCGACGTGAGTATTCCTGGTGGTAATTGGATTCTACTAACAGCCTCTAGTGTGATGCCCACGCATGGATGGATTACTCCATTGGAACAACTGATCAATATCACGGCTTATCCATATCCTGATTTTGATATTAGTCGTTGGGGGAAGGGTGCAGCGCTATGTGATAAATCATTCACAAGGAAGCATAAGGATAATTAGTGATACGAGTTCCATATTAGTTATCTGATGTTTGACAATTAATGAGCTTTCCGAAGATTGCAATCTGCTCTTTCTCAATGTCTCCCAAAATTATCAACAAAGTTTCTAAGCTTCGGTCTTGACCCCGGCTCGCGGAGTGAACACCATATCCAGCCTTGGCAGTTCCAGAGTGTAACAATCTCGTAATCCGTCAATGAAAGCTTGAGGATTGGTCCCTGGCGCGAAAGCAATATTGTATCGCGAGAGAATGTCCATGAGAACATAGCGCATCTCCATAAGACCAAGTTGCTTTCCAGCACAAACGCCACGACCTGTCATTTCAGCTGCGTTCTAAAGCCCGGAGAATAGAGACTTACCAGTTGAAAATGGTGCGTAGACCGATGCGTTTTTGATCAGCTCTGGTCTCGTAATCCACCGCTCAGGAATAAACTCGTTTGGCTTCTCAAAGCAACGTTCATCTATGGCCAGTTAGCAATGGAATCATATGAACTTATCCTTCAGCATACCTCTATACATAGTGTAAGAAGGATTATGTATAATTGTATCTCCAGGTATGTAGACATCGTCAAGCTGCAGCCCTTCGGGAGGAGTCATCCTTGGAACACCTGAAGGAACAACAGGATAAAGACGAAGAGACTCATCGATACATGCTTGGAGATACTGTAGCTTGCTCAAGGAAACAAGGTCATATTCATCGTGGGTGCTCTTGTATTCGTCGATCTCAGCCTGGAGCTTGACGAGTACATCGGGATGGAGTGCAAGGTGGTGCAAGAGACAAGTCGTGGAAGACGAAGTCGTATCACTGAGATATTAGCGATATACTACGATGTTGCAGCCTAGTCATACCTGCCGGCGATGATAATGAGATGAGCATCACCACAAAGGTTGTCGAAGTCCTGCTGAGTAGGCTTCTCAATCGCATCATAATCCTCCAGAATACTACTAAAAACATCTGGTTCCGCCGGTGGATTCTACAGGGGTTAGTGGAGTACTGTTTTCCTCTGAGAAAGCATACCTTTCGTCGAGTCTCGACTTGATTCCTGACATAAGCCTGGAAAGCCAAATATGACTTGTTCACGATTGGGATAGATGAAACAAGAGGGAAGAACCAAATCATTCGCCGGAACGCGCCCATGAAACCTTGGGTCTTGTGTGACTCGGTGAAGAAGTGGTGCTCGACGCCGCTTTCAAGCAAGTCGAAGCTTTTTCCGAAGGAAAGATCACCCATGATGTCGAAGGTGTAGAAGTTTACCCAGAGGGCTATATTGAATGGCTTACCCTTCGCTTCATCAATACGGTCAGTAAGAAGTTTGGTGTATTTGAGCACTCGGTGCTCATAATCGCGCAGGGCTGCTCATCGTAAGCGCTCATCTCCTGAGGCTAGGTGAATGACTCGGTACCTTTTGTAGTGAACGCTCTATCCCATGCTTTACGGCGGATGCCATGTTCTTTCTTTCGTCGCTCAGAGAGAAGCATTACCCACGGATGGGTGATGCCATAAAAAGGCGATTTGATGACCGGGGATGAGGGAGCGTGAATGGGCCGAAATGAACTTGGTGTCGCGATTGATATCTCAGTAGGCCCTTGGAATAATTAGTCGAGAGCACATTGGTAGTTTAAGTCAACTTGCCAATTCTCACGATGTCTCCATACTTCTCATGAAGCTTCTGGACTTCAAGGTACATATGCTCTTCATCTACCGCAAGATAAGTAGCGTAGAATGTGGAAAGGCGAGCAATAAATGGACCCGGGAAACGGTTCAGTCGGTGAAAGAATGCTCGATATGATAGGATACTGATTGTAAGCCCAGCAGCAAATGATGCGAACCATTTGTTGGTCACTGATAAAGCTTGCCAAACTGAAAATGAGTAGAGCTGGGTGAGAAACAACGAGACAGTGACCTCATACGTTGCCCATGCCTTGATAAACTTGACAGTCCAAAGGTCCCATTCTCCTTTACGTAGAACAAAGATATGCACGAGCACTCCAAGGATGAATGCAGCGCAAAAGGCCTGCGGAGTCTCAAGATGAGCTTCAGTCAACAGCATACTGACGGTTAGCGGGTTGCGCAAAGCAGGATACGACAGAAGAAACCCGCTTCCTTTTCTGAGACATGGCCAGCTTCTTGTATCCAACCTTCTCTCAACAAACCAAGGCCTAATGACGAAATAGGTTGCAGGAACTTTTGGGGGCCGATATGCGTTATAGGTTGTTGTCAAAAAGTGGGTTGCAGCGAGTGCCTTGGCGAATTACCAACCAGCGAATACGCATATTCAACATCTGTATACGCCCTTATAGGCATTATGCAGCGCTCTCGGCATTATCTCTTGGCTAAATTACATCAGTTCATGCTTTGCCGGCGGGTGATGTGATTGCCTTGTGCAGGATAAATGATATCAATGGCGTTTTATTGGGTTGCAGATGGACACGCTTCATGGCTTGATGCATATACAGCGGCCGCTAGATGCTGTAAATGGGCTTGCATCCGAGACATTTCTATGTGTGCATTTACGGATCTGGATAGATCATCCATTGAAAGAGAACGGAGGGAGAAGAGACAAGATCGACATTCCAATGCACTTTATAAGGTTGCTTGTTTACCAATCGTTGTCCTTTATTGTCAATCTTCACCGTGGATTTTGTTAAACATTTCATGTGAAGACAGTCGAGATGCATGGGGGCGGCGTAGAAGGTGTCCCGACACCAGAGACGCGTTCAGCGAGTACGTTCCGTTCAGGTCATTCCTGATCCAGCGTTACAAAACACGAGCACCTATTGCCACTTGAAAGCCTGCTTTTGATTATATATAGCACACGTAATTGGCTCCCACGTTCTCTCCGGACGATCGGACGTGGTCTGCTCCATCGCATATTACAATTTAATACTGGGTCGCTACATCGTGTTCAATAACACGATACACTCGTTGTTACCAGGAAAGGCGAATACTGAACTTGAATAGCTTGCATAAGGGAACCTATTTCTTTTATGACTGGCCCAAGCTGCAACAGAATACGAAATAGGGTGCTGATATCTCACCACGATCTTTTGCATGTCACGGCCTGCGAATCACGGCAGTAAGCCACTGCTTAGCGCCGGCCCTGGCTGTCAGCATTGTTACACACGCAAATGCTCCGGCGGGGAAGCTCCATGGGAAGATTTCGTTCAACCTCGCAGCTCAGAATCGTGGCTGCAGATCAACTTGCGGTAGTAATCAACGGTTGTCTAAAATCCTTGGTGGGAATGAAACGGCGACTTGAAACTTCGCCTATGATTACTTGATCACGAATTGAGTTTCAATTCATTAAGCGAAGCCGATAGCTTGGCATCCTAACTAACCAAAAGCCGTTTAGACATGAGTCTACCCGGAGATAGCGATTTATGATCACCACGGAGCATCACGGCTCAACCTCCGGTCCAAAGAGGGGTTCTACATCACATTCACAGAACCTTGGTAACCAATTGACAGAGGGAACTCGTGCCCAACAAGTATCAATATAATCATTAAAAAGCCACGAAAAATATTTTTTCTTCAAAGTCATAGTCTAGACTCTCAAAATGTTAACCAATTCGTATCTTTCGCAAACGTTGAAAGCCATCGGGTTCCCCTCCGATATGAGCTAAACCTCACTCACCCAAGAACTCCGTCTTTCTGCGGATCCCAGAGCCATTACGGGCCCTAAACCCCGGATTTTCCTCCACCGGCGATGGGACCTTTAAATCTGGTCCCGAGAGCTCGGCCTCCAAACGGCGAGGCTTTTTTTCAAGACGAATGATGACCTTTTGCCCCCCTTGTTTATGGTTCCCCGCTCGTAAAACGGCCGAGGCAGAGATAAGAACAACTTCTCCTCTTTTCATCTCGTCATTGTCTTGGGCTGTTCTAGCAGTCTGGATGTCCAAGATGATCTCGCGACCTTTGTAGACGTACCGTAGGCAATAGCGACGGACTCGGCGTCATGGCCGGGCTGCAGCCCGATATCTATGCAGCCATCAGCATCACTTGGGTTGCAGCCTTTCTGGCCCTCAGTCTGCGGCTCAAGGCGCGTCGAATCACGAAAATGAGCCTTTGGTTCGACGATTACTTCGCCATAATTGCCTTGGTAGGATTGGCTCTATCACTGCTGAAGATCAATGCGCACGTACTAACAGTACATTCCAGCTCTTTGTGACAAGTTACTGTTCCATCACGATATACTGTACGCGATACCCTCCAATCCGACCGCAGTCGCTTACCTCGTCTAGGGACGCATAGCTACAAACTCGGCCAATCCATCCTCACAATCGCAGACCCCATCGAAGCAAACCATATCCAAGACCGATCGCGACTTTTGCTCTGGATCTGCGAACTTCTGTACGCCTCGTCGATTGCAATTTGCAAACTCAGCATCCTCTGTTTTTACTGGCGCGTCTTTCAGTACACCTCAATTCGTTACGCCATCATCATCTTGCTTGTCGCTGTGAGCATATGGATCACTATTCGGACTTTCATGGTCCTCTTTCACTGCGTGCCGATAAGAGCATATTGGGACAAGAGCATACAAGGCGCCAAATGCCCGTTTAACGAAGCGAATTTCTTCTTTGCTACGATTCTCGTACATACGACTATGGACTGCGTCATCCTGATTTTACCTGTCATCGAAGTTATGAAGATGACGCTACCTTTATCGCAAAAGCTGGCCGTTGTTGGACTTTTTACGTCTGGAACCATGTACGTTGAGCTTCTTCTGGTAATTTTCTGGTCTAACCATGAGTAGAGTATGCGTCGCGTCGATATTCGTTTTGGTGCATTCGAAGTTATATAACCCTCGAACCGACGACATTCCAAAAGACATGGCACAGAACATGATGTGGGCAGCCGTCGAGATAAATATGGCAGTTTTCTCCGGTACGGACTAACCTCCCGGGCCACTCCATCAAGATCCCCTGCTGACAGATGCTGCAGCTTGTCTCCCCATGCTACGACCCATTTTTCGTCACTTTCTTCCAGGACTCTCGACAACAGAAGAGTCAGCACAAGCACCGATCAGTTTACCAAATGTTGTCCTACCCGGAGTAAGGCTCACTGAGACGAGGTCAAAGAAGCGGGAGTCTCGAAGGTCAGGCATGTCTAACGGGCTGTATGACCCGGAGTTGGGTGTTTTTCATGGATTTTCGGATATATCAAGCATCAGGAGCGTGGCGTCTAGATCAGATAGCGAATCCACACCGAGGAGCACATAATATTAATACTATATTCATACTCAAAGTGTTCCATAATAAGTTCTTCTAGGTCAACCAGAGCCAGAGTCCAGGGACTATCGGCTCGAAGACTTTGCCTGTACCATGATGATTACATATTTGAATTCTCGTAGAATGCCAATTCTAGGCACTGGTTTATACGATACTAGGCAGAGTTGATATACTAATTCATGTCGAATGAGAACCAAAAGCCGAGGACAATAGTTGTCTTTTGAGAAACGGGACCGAGGTTTGCTTAAGCTGTATGCGGTTTCCTTTAAGTACAGTACATCCTTGCAGAATTTGTGGTTCGTCAGCTGCTGCTAGCGCTCATCACGCTCGCGTCTTGGGGATCTTATCAATGTTCCGACCCTCCACTAGGCTCAGGCCATGCCATGCCTTGGAGAGTGTACCAAGCATCCGTTGGTGTCCATGCTCCTCAGTGGTGCCGGTCAGTGCGAAGACCAGTCTGAAATGCAAGCCCTTGATATGATGTTCAGTAATGCTCTCCTCTCCTGTGTCTTGACGGACTTGATGGCGCAATACAGGTTGATGTTCGCTAGGCTCGGTGTTTTGTTCGTCCAGGAGGAGAGGCTTCAACCATTGAGGCTCGATGTTCGATCAGGAGAAGGTGGCGCAATGACGATCAGATATGGTATGCAGCCTTTGCTCGTTTCCCAACTCCTTCAACCTCTTTTTTTATCGTAGATTTCGTGCCGGTATTCCACTCAATTTGACTCGAGTCGTCAGATACACCGTGGCCAACAGTCCAACAGAAAGGGTGCAGGTCGTCACGGCTTCTGCCACCTGGCTGTTCGATCATAAGACCTTTAAATTTGTGTGTTGATCTAGCGCCATAGCTTCCTGAACCTTAGAAAGGTCGTGCAGTCGAAGGAATGAAGGTTCGTCCAACCTTCATAGTTCCATAAGCTGGTGAGAATATAAGGGCGTAAATATGAATGACAAGGCCAACAAGTACAAGAAGTACCATGGCAAGAAGGACACCTCTTTGTCGGCTGAGACGGTCGAAAGTAATAACGTCCATCTTGAATATCGAGCGCAGTGCCAGTATGATTTGTTTGATCGTCGGTTCTAGTGGATACAATACACAGGACGAAAGAACGGTTGGCTGACGAATTTCTTGGGGCCAAGACGACCTTTTGTAAGAATTGGGAAATTGGGTTTGGGCTTACTGTCTCCATTTCGTGTCATTTCCAATAGCGGCACAGCCCAAAGGGACCACCAAGATGTTGGTTGGTTGCGATGTGGAGTCATGGAGGATCCTTTGGTGAGGCTAATTGGATTTATCGTAAGTCTGAGACAGGGATCTCTGATGACATTGGTCAGACGGGACCATCACTCGAACCGTCCATCCGACGCGTACTAACAGCACTATTCTCCGACAAACTGTCCATTATGGTTAATTATCAATCTAACCGTAAAGTCAATCACTCAAGTATTCAGGACTATGATCTACATAGAGTACGACGCATGTCGATGTTCTGTTCAAGGTTGTGAAACAGCCGTGACGAGTCCAACTCTTCAATGTTTCTGGTAAGCAGGACCAACGTCAGATGACACTGATGACAACATCAGTCCGAGCGTGCATTTTGGACAGTTCCAACTGCAGCTGAATGTCCCATTTACGAGAAGTCATGTCGGCGCCAATGGGCCTATCCCTAGTAATCGCATGCGGCACAGCCTTTAAAGGGACATCGCCCATCTTCTCTGCTTATTTCCATGAAGACAACGTTGCATCAATGGAGCGCTTTACTTGGCAATTGGGCTCAGCGAGGAACCGAAGAGGAAGATTTTACGTGCCCCTGCATTTGACTCCGCTCAACTCGCCTGCAGTGCTGTCATTGTGATGGATCATGTTGTGTTCTAGAACGGCCATTTATGGGACGGCTACCTGATCTGGAATGTGCCAAGTGTTGGTCGTTAGTTTACAGCTGTTGGTTGAGGATTGGACCCTGCTAACAGGCCTGTTATCGATGTCGTTAAAGGATAGTGGAAACGCTAACAGATGAGATAGCACGAATTGTCGATGGTTGCCAAATAGTTACGGAGTGGCCGGATAGCAGCTGAAGCATGGGTTGAGCAATCCAACTAAAAGACTGTCCAGCTTTAGGAAACTGGTAATTACTGCAAGTCTTCTTTTAATTTCCAATAGCATACCTGTCCATTTTAACGTGATGCGTCCAAAAAATGCTTCCTGTTCAAGCACTCAACGTGGATACCCTCTAATCTTTGTTATTTAGCCTGTATTTAGCCGGGTTCCCAATCGCCTCTCTGGGCTTGGGACGCACTTCCGAGCTAGCTAGCTACCCTGTATCTCAGCATCTCGGTATCAAAAAGTTCTAAATTTACAAAAGGCAAAATGCTTCCATCCGTTTGCGAACTCGTTTCCCAAACCTCTTTTCCTCCCAAAACCTCAACAAGCCACGTCGATATCATAGTCATAGCTTCGGAAATCCTGCAGAACCGATATAACAGGAGTACCGTACGTCGTATTGACCCGTGTAGTTCCTCGAATCATGCCTCTTCAGACCGGTTGTCAATAGCAGCATGACGCGGCCGTGAATATTGAATATTACGGACCCAGAGTCGCCACATTTGGAAAATGTGCTGCCATCAAGTCCTATGGTGCACTATTCCTGAGAGGTAAAAAGCACGCCGTCAATAGACTCGCAGACGACCGATCTGATATCGTTTATGCTTCCGATCCTGAATCCCGACTTTCCTCCATGCATCATCCCAATCAAACCTCGGGGTGAATCTCCGGATAGGATTTCTGATTACAAGTCCTCTAGAGACACAACATCTGGTCCAGTAGTGACTTGAGACTCAAGTCGAAAGCCAATAGTGTCATATACACCCTTAGATTCGAGTATGTTCAAAAATAGTCCTGTTGCTGGCAGTTTGCTTCAAAGTTGTGATAATTCAGTTGTATGCTTATCTCTAACTAGGTAGTTTGATAAGCGCCCAGTCCGTCAGCCTAAATGGTGGTGAAAACTCGATCGAGATGGCCGAAAGCAGAAAACTTCTGATCGGCAGAGTGATCCTCAAAAAGGGGTTTCTAGGCTTGAAACTTGGTAAAGTTGAGTTTATTCAGTTGATGTTGCTCCAAGCAGGTTTCTTTCTGGATGTATCGCGCGCCAGAACTATCTATCACCCTGGAAAGCTCTTTATCTTGGTTTTGAAAAGAGTATTGCATGTTATAGAAAGTGATCTGACCTGGCTGGGTAATTTCAGGGGATTCATGTATGACTCGAGAGTCGTTGAGAGGTTGTTCCTTATTGTATACGACATGCCGACACGTTGGGGCATATGTGGTTGTGGCATCTTGACTATCACGAAGGTATAAGGCCTTGGTGCCTTCTTTTTCCCGGTTTTCAGGTGCAGCGATGTTGGTACCAATGAACTCTGTGCAATAGAATCTATATTTGTAATCCGCCGCACTGGCAAATGGGCCAGGAAGAAGTCGCCAGTTCATGAGTTGGAGCATGGGCCTCTCCACTGTACCCTAGGCTTCGCAGTACGCCACGGAGACGGCTTCACTCTTCACTTACACAGCATGCTGGTGCTGTAGCGCAGCGAGGAGACCATGCAGCGTTTCAGGGCACTTCTGGTAGAGACTCAACACTACACAACGAAGCAATGTGCATTACTGTACGATTGAGACGAGATTGAAACACCATTCAATGAGACTAGCATGATACCATGACTGAAGTGTTTCATATGGGCACGGAAACTGGTGGGTTGTATGAGCCATGAGATGCAAATTTGATGTGGTGTTCAACAACTCAATGAATGGATACCAGTCAGCATCGTGAAAGTAAATTTGGTTAAAGAAGGTCTATTCTTCTATCTATCTTTTATTGCAATGCTCAGGCGTTCGGCCACATAATCATTCGGATGCATTGGCAACGACAAACTCAAGAATGGTCAAGTTAGGACCATTCCAATGCTTTCTAGCATGTGTAAACCACAGCCCAACCGCAATAGCAAGGACGGCTACCATGACCGGGCCGCAGTAGTTCATGTTCTCACCAGTGACTGGGAGAGTTGATGGAAAGGGGAGGAAGATAATGACATATAGTGTGTAAACCAGAGCAAAGACATTGACGGGAAGACCGAAGCGACCAAGGTTCCACTCGCCAAGCTTGATGGAAGACCCTGAAAGACGAACGTAGATGATACTTGCAATTGCGATAGCGTAGCTGAGGTACAGGGCCAAGGATGAGAGTGATGTAATGGCACCAAAAGCAACATAGGAGGTATTGCCAATGTTGAGAAGGTTCAGAGCGCAAACCAGAAAGACAGTGAGAATGATGGAGCGTGTAGGCACGCGATGGGTAGGACTGACATAGGCAAAGTAAGCAGGCATACCACCATCACGAGACCAAGCCCACGTTAGACGGGAGACGGAAGCAATGTTGGCAAGGTTGACACTGAACGAGATGATGAAGAGACCGGCGATCATTGCAGTGGTGACTTTATTGGAGCCGGTCACGTTGAGGAGGATGGCCTGGATCTGACTGGGTTGCTCAAGCATGTCTTCGACTGAGCCCATGGCGGAGATGAGAACATTGACCATGATGAAGCCGAGGACGCCGTTCATGAAGATGGACCAGAACATGGCGCGAGGGACGGCAGACTTGGCCTTTCGGGTCTCTTCGGACATGTGGATAGCACTGTCGAAGCCTGCGAACAGTGAGCGGGGCGACGATAGAGGACTCTCAAGGGGACTTACCAGTGAAACTCCAGACGCAGGTCAGCATGCCCAAGTTCCATGCGATGTACTCGTTGTCCCAACCAGACGAGATGTTGCGTTGCAACCAGAAGGACGAAGGGTTTCGGGGGCCCATGACGACTAGGACAACGACAAAGATGACGAAGAGACAAACGTGAAGAACACCGGCAACAAGTTCGACCCATGGAATGAGCTTGAAGGCGTAGACGTTCATCAATCCGTGGACCAAGCACATGGCGATGACAAGAACCGAGGTATGCCAGCCGCCAGCGACATAACTGGGATGATTGATGCTAATCATCGACTCGAGTAGAATAATAGTGACGTTCGCAATAGCGGCCAACAGCGACACGTAGCCAAACCATGTCGACCAGCCTTGGATCCAAGTCGCGAATCGCTTCACCGATTGAGGAGCCATGTAAAATGTCCAGTGGTACTGCGCACCAGCAACAGGCTGAATCGAAGCCATCTCTCCCAACGACGCAGCCTGGGAAATGGCGCCGCAGAAGACGATGATGAAGCTAAACAAAAACGTTTGGGGTCCGCCATTGAAGAGGGCAAAGTACATGTTTCTACCAACATCAGCATCTTTGCGACCTCGACATAGAGGAAGAGTAACTTACGAGCACATACCCTCCCATAATGCCATGTACGTCAACGAAAAAGCAAAAAGCTGCGAAAAAGAAAACACCTTTCGCGTTCGCGTGACATTGTAGATGTTGGAGTCCTCAGGCGGCCTAGCCGAAGCGTCAACGCTCACAGGAACAGGCTGCTGCTTGCCCGAGGCTTCCAACTCAATGCTGTTACTACCGTGCGACATCGTGAACCCAGAATATGCGAGCGATATTGAATGCAGGAACACGAACCAACAGACTTCGGGGCCTGGGTATAAGGCAGATCCTCAGGTATAAAAGTGCCAGCAACGAATTACCTACAAAGTGGGACCTGTCGGGGAATTGAGAGAAAGCTATTGCCTGAAACAAGTAAATAATCTCTGGGATCAAAGTTGAGCGACAGGTCCTCAACGGATGGAAGGGGAGTTAGGCGAGGCGAGATTGCCGCGAATAAGGCCGGCAATGAAATCGAACGGTTTTGTCTGAGGGATTGTGGCGTCGCAGATCATTTCTCATTGGGAATATCTCGTGGAACCGCTTGAGATGTAACGCTAAGTGGACTCGAAGGAAGAATGCTAGCAGGGACAGGGCTTTATCTACCAACAGCCACAACAGATATCATGTTTTCGTGTTCTCTTTGCTCTTTTCGTTATGATCAGTAATGAGTGAAGAAAAGAGGGAAGAGAGGCTGCATCGTTTGGCTTACTACTCCGCATATCTTGCTGAGCGAGAAGCAGGGATTGTAATAGTCATCACCAACCTGCAGAGATCGACGAGACACTCATCTTGTGATCGGCCGCATCACAGAACAATGAATCTCCACTAGAAGACGTACAAAAGTGGACAGCACTTTAGAAGCTTCAAACGTGGGTGCCTAGTGGTCCGAGATAGAGTAGATATCCCAGTACCTGGAACATGACAGGACCGCATGGCAAGCCGCTGACTCCAACGACTCGGACAGATTATCACTGCAGCTGAAAAAGGTCGAAACACGGTAAGATCATGCACATTCATGGTTCATCGTGTATGTATGTCTTAATTTAATTCCCTGGTCGTTCACATTCATGCTGTCACCACGCCCACTGCAACTCTATTTATTTGACAGCCCCGAATGCTACCCTCTCCCCGTCTGCTCGGTCCGCCCTTGCTGTAGCATTAAAAGGCCAGCACGTTGATCTCTTGTTTTAAGGCCGCTGAACCCGTCGGAGGGTATCGAATACTACGCAGACGATGGACCAAGTATCGCAAGCGGCTCCGCCATTTTACCCGTTGACGGAGAGTAACCATGCTGCACTTGTTGTCATCACAGCTGTTATTTTCTTTATCTATGCGCTTCTCGGTATCGTTGGGAAGTTGATCATTCGGTTGAACATTACTTCTATTAAAGATTTTGACGTGGGGCTGCTGATTGCTGCGTTGTTGTACTTTATACAAACGGCCTGTGTTGTTGCTGCTTGCAGTCATGGGCTTGGTGAGCACCGTGATGCTCTCTCTGATGAGGACTTTGGTCGCTTCAGCAAGGTATGATTTCGTTCTAGTGTGTATTTAATCTTGCTAATATGCTGTAGCTGATGTATGCATCACGCGTATTCGGAATTCTTGTTCATGCGACGACAAAGGTCTCACTTGGGCTTCTTATTCGACAGATCGATCGACAAGGTGGACTCAATACTGCAAACATGATCCTTGGTGTAGTTGTCATTGCGTGGGCTGTCTCTGGCGTATTTGCGACCGCATTTCAATGTCCAATGCCAGAGCCGTGGCTCGCTGAGAACGCAGCGCAATGTCCAAACCAAGGACCGATCTTTCTCTACAACGGCATTATGATAATTTTAACAGATATTGCTCTGTGCGTCCTCCCGGTCGCAATGATGTGGGAAGTCCAGACCTCGATACGAAGAAAGATCATTGTCATGGCGTTATTCGGCACGCGACTCATCGTCCCGATCATCACGATACCCGAAATCGTCCACGCGCGATATATGTTTGAAGATTCAGGCGATGTTACATGGCAAGCTGTCTCAATGATGATCTGGGGTCAAATTGCACTCGGCCTCTCAGTAATCACAGTCTGCATCCCCAGTCTCAAAGGCGTAATCGACAGTCTACTTGGTTCCACAGCCGTCGCAGCCATAAACACTCCCTACGAACTCAAAGACAGCGGTAATGGAACGGGGCTCGAAATGACAGCCCTGTCAGACTCACGAACGAAACAAACATCGAAACAAGGCAGTGGCTTAGGCAGCGCTCTACGAAGACATTCAAGACCAAAACATAACGATCAACCAATGTGGCGAAGGGATGTTATGGGAGAGGTGCGAACGGAAATAGCGAGCGGAAGTGATAGTGTGAGGAATTTGACGGAGGGTGTCATGGTGAATCGAGATTTTGAAGTATCTTACGATGATAGACATGCTTCGCGTGCGGACTCTATGGGATCGAGCGAAGGTGCATATCGAATGTAAAGCAGTTAGTGTCAGTGATAATAATGGCATTATTCCTTGTGTTAATTTGTCTCTTATGATTTACAAGGCTCAAACGTCGGAGAATAAGCTCCTCCTTGCCTCAGACGCACCGCGGGCGCAAGAGGGCAGATCTAAGCTTCTTCAGTTTCCTTCCGCCGCAGGATTCGCTAGCGTCTTCGGTTGGAACAAGTGTCGAACAAAGCAAAACCACCGAGAAAATGCAAGCGGCTGCACCCGGCAAATCCCCCAGTCGCTGAAGATAAAATGGATCCAGGGGCGGTTTGATATGTCCGTTGTGGCTTGCGACTCGCTGGCTGGGAATTAACGCCAAGGTTATCTCCGGTCCACTTGGTACAGTACTGCACTGTAGTGGATTGAAAGGAATAGACTTACGGCCCGGTCCCTGGTCCCCGAGAGGTTTACCGTGGCTTGAACTACTGATCAATGTCTTAGCCACTGTGATATGATGCTGACATTGTGAGAATTCTCTTCTCCCTTTATCTGGCGGTCAAGAATTTGTGAGATTAGTTGTGTCACATCGTTGGAAACGTGGTTACAACGTGTTGATAGAGTTCAACCAAATTAAACTGCCGAGCGCCATTTTCGGTGCTCGTATATGATCGTCCACTTTGCGCGATACCTTCAGGTGCCGTGAGTGGGGGTTTAGAGGGTTATCCACTGTAATCCACTCTTCGAATGGTCAGTTGGGGCTGGTCAGAGCATGAATTAGTACGTAACGGAGGAGATGTTGGTTATCCTTGTTCCATGCTCAATGGCTCCTCTTTGCTATGCTTTTCATGGCAAGACATGCGAATGGCGGAGACGAGTTCTACAAATTGGAGTTTGTGGGATCATTATTTGTAAATGTCAAACTCGTGGCTACAGATGCAATTGTGTTTATGCTGCTGACTCAAAATTGTTAGAGTCATCCTTCTTCCCCGCCCCGGATCGGATAAGCTTCGTTAACCAGCTGCCATTTCTGGACTGTGAGTCAAAACAACAGCACCCTATGTAAACCTCATAGCATCAGGTATCTCGAACAGTACTTCTTCAAACAAAATATTAATGATCAATTGACAATGACTTCTCACGACGAAGAAGCCCGCAATGAAGCGGCCCCATTGCTGCAAAACAATGGAGAAATATCTGTCTCAGAATGGCCGACCAACGACTGGTGGGCTGAGCTGTCGCTCATAACACGCTATACAGCCCCTCTGGTAGCAACATATCTACTTCAATATTCATTCAGCGTTATCACGACAACAGCTGCAGGCCATCTTAGCCCAGATGACTTGGCTGCTGCTGCAATTGGCGTCACGACCATGAGCATCGCTGGTCTTGCCTTCTACGAAGGAATGGCGACAGCTCTCGACACCCTCTGTGCGCAAGCGTATGGGGCTGGAAACAAGACGGGTGTTGGCTTGCATGTCCAGCGTATGCTTCTTCTCATGACGGTTGTTACTATCCCTGTTGCTGCAGTTTGGATATGTTCTCCCGCATTCTTGACGCTCATTCTTAAGCAAGAACATCTCGCCGTCAAAGCAGGTTCCTTTCTCCGAGTCAGTATACTAGGCATCCCAGGCTATGCCTCCTTCGAAGCATTAAAGCGCTTCCTCCAAGCCCAAGGCGATTTCAACACCGGCATGGCAGTCTTACTCATATGCGCGCCTATCAACGCGCTCCTCAGCTGGCTCTTCGCCTTCAAACTCAAGCTCGGTCTCGAAGGTGCCGCTCTTGGCGCAGCAGTAGCCAACACCCTCCGCCCAACCCTCCTCCTCATCTGCATCTTCTTCAAAAAGTCAACCCACGAATGCTGGCCCGGCTTTACGCGTCGTGCCCTGCAGGGCTGGGGATCCATGGTTCGGTTATCTGCCGCCGGATCGGCTGTCACGTTGGCGGAGTGGACTGCGTTTGAGATCATCACCGTTAGCACGTCATATGTGAGCACGATTCATCTCGCGGCGCAGACGATCTTGACTACTACGTCGATTGTCATGTGGCATATTCCGTTTTCGCTTGGTGTTGCTGTTAGTACGAGAATTGGACATTTGATTGGCGGTGGACATGTGACTGCTGCGAGACGGATTACGATACTTTATGGTATCATGTTTGTTGGGTTAGGGTTCTTCGACGGTGCGGTTTTGTTCTTGTTGAGGAATTACATTGGACCTTTCTATGCGAGCGATGAGGAAGTCCGAAGAATTGTTACGAACACCATGCTTGCAGTTGCAGGCTTTCAGGTCGTTGATTCGATTGTCTGCGGATGCAATGGTGTTCTCCGTGGTTTGGCCAAACAATCTGTGTCTGCGTGGGTTGTGTTCTTCGTCAACTACTTTACTGCTGTTCCTATTGCGGTCTGGTTGGAGTTGGGACCTTTGGATCTGGGCTTGAATGGTGTTTGGTCTGGAGTGATAGGTGGCTCTGGTGTCATTGCGCTTATTGAGGTCATCTATATGATCAAAGTCGACTGGAGAGGTTCAGTCGAGATAATCAAGTCAAGAGAGGATTAGCCTCTCGACTTCATGATTCAACATCATCGTAATCTTTCCAAATTCCTATCCCTTCATCATGTCACATGCAAACTTCAGAACCAAGCGTCATGGTATGGTTGACAGCCTATAACCGGCACAGTTCGCTGTTTCCTCGCCACATCTCTCAATCAGCTTTCATCTGATCACGCGACCTACTTCTGTAATTTGATCGTCGCTGTGTCCACGTGGTACATGACGGTTCCCAACAGTTGAGGGAACATCGTCATAGGTGACGGATCCTTGGGTCAGGGCGCGTGGGGTTCTGAACCTCGTCAATCTTGCGATCTGCATTTGATACCCCATACCAAACCAAACGAAAAAATAGCCGCGGTACTTGATGCGTTGGCAGCATTCACATAAGCTACTTCTCGGACCAAAGGAATAAAATGCAAGTCGACCCCGCTCGATTACATGCTAAAAGGCGTAGTCATGCTGCATGTTTGATTTCGTCATCTTTTAGCTTCCTCCGAGTATCGCCCATTGGCTTTGTTCACGAACTTCCAAATCAGGACATGAGGGTTGCTTAAAGTGCAAATGCCCAACACCAGTAGTTTTATCTCACTGCCGACAGCCTCAGAACCGCTTTTGAAGTAGAAAAACATGGATCAAAGTGTCGTTGCGTGTTACCTTCTCCTTTGGGCCTTTGCGCTGTCTCTTTTCGCATTTTCGTACTCACAAAGACAGAAAATCTCAGGTCCCTAGATTGCACAAGATTTCCGCTTTCGATGGTCAAACCTTCACTGCATTTTAGATAAAAAACGCTCTCCAATCAATCTAAGCTTAAAACAAGGCGGACCGTTTTCAGCCCTAAACTGTGAGCTGGCATTGTTTGTTGTTAGCGCCGGGCTTGCTGAGTTGTCCCCGAGCGCGGTCCGATATCTCATCATATCAAATAACGACGATCGCACATTTGATATTGAAATTCGCCCCCTTCGGTCCCGTCAAACTCTATTGACTTTCTGGAAGGGGATGATCCCTCACAACCGCCGGTAGTTTTCGCACTTATTATCTCACGTGTACATGTCATGTGCCCCAAGCAAAGCCCCTTCATGAGGGGTTGAGGAATGAGATTATCGTGAATGCGGAAAGAGAGTTATCATTGTGCAGTCGGGTAATATGCTTATAAAATGGCTTTGTTTTCCACTGACTGTCACTTAATAGTTCAGTAGCAAAAATGATCATCTTCGAATTCTTCGCGCTTCAAAAGACTATTTTCAAATTCTTCAGAATTATTTGATAGCTGAAGTTTGGATCTTGTGCCTTACTCGATAAACTTTCACGATGACTTCTTATGGCAAGCGCCCTTATACTACACTCATAGAATACAACGGTCAGTGATCGAGGATGGACCACTGGCTTGACTCTTCACTTACTTCTTATACATATCAGGCAATATGGGCACTGTTACTACTCAACAACCCCGACGATCTGGTTCTATGCATGTTGAACCTTCAGTCAGCTCTGTCACGCTGACTCACACCAAGCAGGTTCCAGATCGGCCAATGCCTGTGATAAGGCCTCGCAGAAAGGAGTCTATGGACCAGTATTTGACCGGCGTTGGTGCGTGGACCTCAACTCGTGTGATGCCCGCCGCCTAGATCATGATTGTTTATTTGAGAAGTTTCAGAGTCATTGGCGTTTACAACACTCGCTTATTATGGATGCCGGCATTGGGAATTGGGTGGTTAGATACTCGTTTTAAATACACCCTGCGGTAAGTAGAGTAGTCAAACAGGATACTCACCGCAGGTCAGTACGTGAGCATATCACAGTCATTGTTTTCGTTTAGTATTTTATATAGATTGATCAAAGGTGCTTATCGTTCTACTGAATATCAGAACCTATCCTTTTGTGAGATCATATTCAAAAGAATAAAGTTCAAAAACAATGATCATTGAAAACATCTTTGGCTCCATATCGGACTGGGGTCAGGACGATGAAGATCAAGCGGCAAAAAGTGGCCATGTGACACAGCTATCCGAGATCCGCCGAACGTGGATGAAGATCTCACCCACGATGAAACACGATGTTTCAGTAGAAGAGGCATTTGCATATCTGCCTAGTTGACCATTGGCCAAGCATAATCGAAGAGTGTCAGCCCTGAAGTTAATTTCTGTCTGCTGAATGCCAATAGATCAGATTACATCTCGCCTTGTTTTTCGGATACTCAAAACTGCACTTTGAATCATTCGCTGCCGGATCGGGCAATTCGTTTGTCGCTTTCACAAATTGCATCTCGAATCCATGATGAGAATTTCTCTGTTATAAGGATAATCAGACACTTGATGAACGTTGGGGGTTAAAACATAATGAGGCCAACGGGAAGTGCCTGTCAGCGCTTATGCACTCTGAAGTCCAATCAGGCTGCTTGTCTTACTCTGTGAGGGGCTATGTTAGGTCTCAATCATGCCTGACTTCAGCCACAGAGGCCATGGTAGGCTGAATCGAGGGTCTGGTGAACCACTTCACAACGGGCTGGGAGCCTTGTGTCAACCTTGAGAAAGGAGATTGCGGTTCGCTATGGACAAATAGGCAAGATGAGAGCCACGTGATCCCTGCGAAGAAATCAGGCTCTACATTAAATAAGCTGACAGGGCAGATGAGTCCATCATCCTCTGCCTTCTCCGCACTTCAATCTTGCTGTCACGCACGCACCTAACTCGCCAATATGGCGGAAGCATTCGGTATAGCGGGCAGCGCGTTCGGCGCTGTCTCTTTGGGTTTGCAACTCTTCAAAGAAGTTTCCCAATATCTCGATGACATTGACGGCCGCGAGGAAGATCTAAAGGAAGCACGCAATTACGCGACCAACATTCAACTCTCCCTCAATGCCCTTGATGTTGCTCTATCTACCGCGCCTACTGGCGACCCTGCGACCAAAACCGCAATCGATTCATGCAAAACCTCATGTCTCTCCGCAGTAAACAATTTGTTGGCAGCTGTGAAAGACCTCAGAGGTCCAATAATATCTGCTCCGAACAGCAACGTTGCCAGGGCCAAAGAGCTTTGCGCTAAAATTAAGTACCCTTTCAAGAAGCAGAACATGGAAAAGCTCGAAGAAATTCTTTCGCGTACGAACAGTGCTCTACAAACCATGTTGCAAGTATTTCAGCTGTATGTCAATGCCTTGTGATTCTAAAGCTTATATCATAAATTAATATCCATACTTGCGAAGCAACACCGGTATTGCGGCAACCTGTTCTATCAACAATATGCACCAGGCCGTAGCCAACGTTAGCCTAATATTTAACAACAGCAAATCAACTCTTGATGAAATGCAAAAGACATCAGAGCTTCACGATGACAGACTCAGCACTCTCCAACAGGATGTGAGAGAACTTTTGATCCTTACGCGAGGCTCACAAGACTTGAATATCCTGCTGAGAACGCTGGCCCAGCATTTGTCGGACCATACCTCCAACACTAGTGTCACCGCCAATTTGCTGCAGAACCCAACATCTGATATATTCCTGCCCAGTATACAAACGACCAGTTACCAAGGTGGTTATAACATGAAATTTGATTCATTTTGTTGTTGCAAGACACAGCGATCACGGTTTAGTCAAAATCGCTGGGGGCCTTTCCTTCTCGAAGTTGAAATCAGTTCGAGAGACCACCATGCCCCTGAATGTCCAATGTCAAAGCTTTCTGCAGTAACACATCACACTAAGCGAGTCTTGAACCTCTCGCTTCTCACAAGTCTGAAGTTGCCAGGGCGGGCTAGTAGATTCTCTCTTGCTTTCACAACAGGTGCAGGCATACTTGGCTTAAGTCAAAAGCTGACCTGGGTTGCAACAGTGGATGAAGATTCATCCCCGGTATTCCGAATAGCACGAATGATGGAAAAGTATAATCGATTGCCACGCAAGGACATGCGTATACTGTTGGCCTCATGTTTAAGGCGGCTTGTCTGGTGTTATGTCAACTCCCATGCGTCTGTAACGGACGTTAATAAAAACGGTGATTCGATTATCGAGTGGGCATTAGAGCACTATCAGGTAAGCTATTGCTACATGCCTGGTAAATTCTTCACTAACCATTTGTGCTTTAGCTCAGCAGTAGTTTGGCAGCTTTGGACGCTGATAATATGGCAGACTTATTTCAGATGCTTTCTGTTGTCACGAAACCTGCAACATATCCCCGCAGGGTCACAGTGTAAGTTCACCAAAAGTCAATTGGCAAGAAAACGGAGTTTCCACTCACATATTCTGAGACAGCGCACCTATCCCTGCTTTGTTGGCGAGAAGTAACTGGTTCTCCAAATGTACAAGACCTAATCAAGTTGCAACGGCCCTTTTATCGAATTACAGCGAGTCGGTAGGCCACTGTCACCGAGACTGGGCGCTATCGTGGTGGAGAGGTAACGGCTTTGTCAGAGGTTCATACACACTCTTTCAGAGCTTTCCACAAGTAGCTGAAAGTAAGTCGCTGCATGTTTAATAACAAGTTCACAATTAATAATACGCATACAGATTTAGAGTTTGGTCCACTGAGTCAAGCTATTCTGAAACAAGATCGAGACGGAGTCCAACAGTTATTAAAAACATACCCATCATATATGAACGAGATTAATTACTGCGGCCAGTCACCCATTCATCTGGCTATTGAGACGCAAAACATGGATATTATAGGTGTCATCCTTCTATATGCGAACACTGAAACTCTTAACGTCAAGGACAACATGGGCCGCAATCCTATTGCTCTTGCGACAGCAGCAATCGGGAAACATACCGAGAGAATTCAGGAAAGCTGTGGCGGCTTCAAAGTGCTCGAAACCCTCATTAGGTTGGAAACAGCAATTTTACCGTCCTCGTTACAGCTCGGTTTCATGCCATCAAGGAACCACGGTAATAACTGTACACATGGTCATAAGATCCTTATCAAGGGTCTAGCACAAAGGCGAGAAGCACTGAAAGAACTTGCATACCGAAAGCTTTCTCCATCTGAAAGACAAGACTTAGAAATTCATCAAGCAAGGATCCTAGACAAAAATGCTGCACGAGTACAGTACCAACTAGAAGCCCAGGGTTGCGCGATACCAACATACCTAAAGGTTTATGAAGCAAATGCGGAATTGTCAGTTGCCCAGACATCTATCTACTCATATATATGTAGTGGTGAGGTCGCTGAATATGCCCGCCAGTTGGGTTTCCACTACTCCACCAACGAATTGGCGGACTATATTTCCACTTTAGCGACTCGTATAGGCACCGAAGACTGCCATGCATATATCTACACTCCGTTTTCTTGCTCATATTTCTGCTGGATGATTGACCAGGGTACCAACGTCTCGTCAAGGATTCATAACAAGCAACTACCGGCCCTTGAGACAGAACTGACCATCGCTCACTATTTCATGGCTAGCCATGGAATGATGATCAGAGGCGACCGAGAATTTACACTCGACTGCCCCACGTCACTAGAAGCTTTCAAAATAGTGTTTTCTGATATGATTGTCGACAGCTGCCGATGCTGGTGTTCTCCAGGGGGGTGCACTCCTCTGGTGAAGCTCTTAAGTGGAATACATTGGTTCGAGAAGTCTCCCAGATTCTTCTCAGAAGGCAATTTCATTGATCGACTTATCCGGGTAACGGAAAACCGGATGGTTGGTCTGTTCTCTATACATACAAACAAGATTAGCCAGTACCAATGGATCTATATGGCCATTGTACGATACTTTACATTTGCTTTACTAGAGCTCCCTCACGTTTGTTGCTGTATTATTCAGAATCCTTCAGGCCCCTTGCCAGAAGAGGAACGCGGGGAATTGCAAGAGGAAGAGTCTTTCCTACTTGAACTTTTCGAAAATCTCATTGCAGAATTTGAAGAGAAGCGCCTCTATGAGATGAGATTGGAAGGTTTCTTTGAATGGATGCGACTCGTTTGGGTCCCAAGAATGTGTCAGGCTGAGCAGGAGCTGGCTTCTCCAAGGCTCACTAGCCAGCAACTTCAGGATGCCAAAGCCATTGGGGTAGTACTGGAGTTTCATGGGCCTCTGCCAATGGATTCCAGTCCACGAGTTGTTGAAGGTTTAGAAGGTGATTTATGGGATGCTATGGATGAGCTAGACCAGATTGCTACAGATTCAGAGAGGCCTACGAAGGAAAGTCTGCAGACGCATACTTGAACAAAATCGAGTTCTACCCTACAAAAATTTCTATCAAGAATATCTGGCCAGCCTCATCTGTCGCAAACTTTAATGTGTTGACGTAATACTGGATCTGATCACGCAATTGGCTACATAAAATGCCTGCAACACTGAGCTATGCCCCTCACCATCAACCTCAACCTTTCAACATCACGACATTCTTGAAAATGACCGAAAGCAACAGTCTGCAGCCAATTTTAGATCACATTGTGATCTTGGTGTCCTATCAGACACTACAAGAGCTGCCAAGGCGATTGGAGAATGGCCTCACTGTAATTGATGGCGGGGCTCATGCAGACGGCCGGACAGTCAACAAACTGATCGAATTTTCTGATGGTGCCTATATCGAGCTCATCGCCTTTCAAGACGGCTTGGATCCAGAAAGGCGAAAGACTCATAGATGGGGAGAGCTGGAAGAGAACACTCTCGTCGACTGGGCGTATACACTAC